CGCAACATGGTCCGCGTCAAAATAACGCCTCGAAAAAGAAAAAAGCGGGTGCGGTTTCTCGATGAAGTCCTGGCGGATTCCAGTCGACCGCGAGCTAGTTACACGCCCTCTCCCACCAGTGACGCGGACGTCCTGAGATTCATCCAGAAGAAAGCCGCTGAACAACGGCAAACCCAACCGTGGTGGGACAAGTTGGCCAGTCCCACCAAACAGCAATGGGCCTACGCCAATGCTTACCATCGAGCCGAAGAGTATGCCAAGCAACGAGGGGCTCTACGGTCCCCACCCAAGAAAAAACAACAACGCCGACGCGCTGGGCGTCATCCACCCATGCGCAAGAAGAAACCCCCTAAACCCAAGACCTGCATGACCCTGATGGAACTGGCCCGGGCCTTTCCTAACATTGCCCAGCAAGTGTGTTTTCATCCTAAACAATCGACCTTCAATTCAGTGGTGGGACGCGTCCCTCGCAGTAAACAGAAAGTGGCGACTTGGCTATAAAAGGACCCTGTACCCTATTAGACGTGCCTCTTGTTCTTCATCATGAGTGAGATCAAACGCTTGACGCTCATTAGTGATCCGACCGACGAGTTTCCCAACAATGCCAACAACAGTTTCAAGGTCCGTCTGCCCGAACGCCTGAGCTTACCAGGCGCAGGCTGGCATGCCTCCCTATTGTCCCTGACCGTGCCAGATCAAGGCCAGAGCAATGCCATCATCGCCGCGGATCCTCATACCAAAGTGATCAAATTCAAAATGAGCTATGTGATCCGCAAGTGGGTGACGGGGATGTACCGATTCGCCGAGGTGAAAACCGTGGACTGCGTGTTGGAATTGGAAGAGATCATGAATGCGAGTCAAATCGTGGCGACGGGGAGTCAGTTTTGGAAACGCGTGATGCAAGAAATGCACAACAAAATGATGCACAATGTGATGGCGGAACAAATGCGGTGGCTGGTCACGGAACCCGACCAAAGACCTATTGTCAGTGCCAAACAAAACGCCATGCCCCGACTAACCTGGAAAAAGGGTGCTTTGGTGATTAAGGCCCTTCCCCTAATGGATTTGCTTAGAGAGGACAAGAAAGCCATCACTGATTTTTTCATCAACCTGGACATTGCGCTCAAGTTTGGGTTGGTAGAGGAAAAGATAGTCAACAACGAGACCAAGTATTACCTAGGGCCCAATATGCAATACACGCTGCCCGCCAAGACGTACGATTCGGACACTCCACCCAAAGGAAACTCCAATCGCTCGCCCTACAACTGGGAAGGTGTGAATTACGAGGCCGTCAATCCCACCTTGATGTTTGGCAATATGGTCAGCAGTATTGAACATGATCCCATGCAGGTTCGGACCCATCAGGGTGTGAAGTTTTTGCATTTGTCCTTGCTAGTGGAATGGCAGTTGAACAACCTGGATGCCTCGTTTGAAAAGATCGTGGGGACCCGCAAACGGACCGTCATGGTCTATTCGGATCTGGTTGAATCCACCATAGTAGGCAGTGGCAAGTATCCCCTGTTACGGGAAGTACAATTGTTGAGAACGGGGGATGGAGAAAGTACGGCCGAACCCTTGCACCACCAATGGATCAAAGTACGAGGCCAACAAATGGATATCTTGGAAGTAGAGATTGCCAGTACCAGTGGACCCCTAGCCATCTTACCCCCCGGCAAAACCCTGGTGACCATTGGTCTCAAAAAGCTATAAAAAGTCACTCCACGTCTCTGGAAGGTCCAAAACACGACGTGAACCATGCGCGGAGGCAGTTTAACGCGGTACCACACGCCCGTGCTCACCAAGCAAGAGGGCAAAGGGTTGGCCGAAGACTTGATCAAAATCGCGGGACCCCTGATCGTGCAGCAAGCTCAAGCGGGACTGCAAGATATTCAACGTGGCAAGAGTGCCGCGGACACGTGGGCCGATCGAAGTGCCCAACTCAGTCGCAGCTTGAAACGCAAAGCCCCTGCCATGGCTTGGACGGCTGGCAAACACAAGGTTAAACGGACCGCTCAAAATACCTATAAAAGAGCCACGCAACGTGTACGGGACATCTTTGGACTGTGAAAAATGGTACGTGTAGGAGGCTTTCTCAAATCGCAAAATCGTATTCGACGGCAACGTGCCCGTGGACGGTTCATTTCGCCGTATCAAATGGGGGGCACGATTTTTGGCAAGTCGACCACGGCGCGCTATCCCCTGATGTACACATCCTCCCGCCAATTGGATCGATACCTACAGCACAAGATGAAAGGGGGGACGATTTTTGGCACGTCCACTCGCAGGCGCCATAATCCTTTGGGGTTCCCTACGGCGACAGATAGGATCAACCCTGCACCCTGGAGGATAAAACAAGCCTTGCGCCGCATGAAAGGGGGCACGATCTTTGGACCCGGGGATCTCCGAAAAGTGTTGTGGGCCAACCAAGCCAAAGCCAGGAAGCAACGAAAGGGTATAAAAAGAGGACGCCGTTGAACCTCGTGGACAGATCGCATCATGTCGCTCAGTCTGTTTGACGTGCCCGATGTGGATTATCGGTACGAAGCCTCGCGGGACGTGGAGTTTCAACCCGCCTTGACAGGCATCCAACCCATCACCTTCTCCATTCCAGGCTCCGACGATTATTACGACACCAATTCTCTCCGCTTCAAAGTCAAAGTACGCCTGACTGATCCAGCCGCTGGGTACAATGGGTTGGTGGCCAATTTGGCCAACTCCGATGCCAACAATTCCAGAAACACCTACTGCGTGAACAATTTCGGTCACACCATCTTTCGAGACATTACCATGAGCATGAATGGCGTCCTCATGACCGAACAGAGCAACACCTACCATTACAGAGCCTACCTAGAAACCCTGCTGAATTACAACCGAGAAGAAGGAGCCACCAAGTTAGCCCCCCAAGGATGGGTCAATCAGCTCAATGTGATTCCCGTCATGGGAGCCACAGGAGCCAATTCAGATGTCCCCACCAATGCGAATTGGAGTGGCAATACAGAATTGAGAGCCCTGACCAGCAAGTTGCTGGGTGAAAATTGGCACACCTTCATCGTGCGTCCCCATTTGCCACCTCTCAAGACAGGCAAATTATTGGTCCCCAATGTCCAGATGGACTTTGAACTCTTCCTGAACCCCAACACGGTCTACCTGATGGGTACCCCTAACAAAGGCACCTTGAACGCCAAGAAATTTCCAGCCATTCACAATGATGACATCAAAGTCACCTTGCTGATGAGAAAAGTGACCTTCAATGCTGGCGTCTATGTCAGACTGCAGAAAGAAAGACAGCTAAACAAACAGATTGCCAGCTACCCTGTTGTACGAAGCGAAATTCGCACGTTTTCCTTTGATGGGCGTACCACCCAGTGGGAACAAGACAATGTGTTTGTGGGTCGATTTCCTGATCGAGTGATCGTCGGGTTATTGCATTCCAACACCTTCAATGGAGACCTCACCAGATACCCTTTTGCCTTTCAAAAGTTTGGTATCACCCAAGTACGACAGACCTTGAATGGAGAAGAATACCCTTACAGAACCCTGCAATTGACTGGAGACCAAGACTATGAAGATTTGCTGGGCTACGATCGATTTCTACAAGCCATGGGTGCTTACAATGAAGATAAGATCCCTATGCTGCTACCTGGTGATTGGGGACAAGACAAGAACTGCACGTTGTTCATGTTCAACAATGTGCCCAGTGGAAAAGCAGATGACCCCCAGTACCGTAACCCCCGTCAATCGGGTAATACGCGACTGGTGATTGATTTTGCCGCGGCTGTGGGTCATAACATCACCGTATTGGTATGGAGCGAATATGAAAACATGTACTATATCAATCATCTGGGAGGTATAAAATACAACATCAACGGTTGAAGATGTCTCAGAAGTCAGAAGACACCGGGCATGGAGTTTGTGGCGCTCAGTGATACCGTGTTGCGAACCCTGGCCTTGGAGGATCCCGAATTACGACGCGTGTTTCATGGGGTGCACCCAGCGGATCAACTCCCCCGATCCCCTACCAAGAGTGTCCGTCAAGCCTACATTGTCAACACCGATCCAGCCGGAGAACCGGGACAGCATTGGTTGGGTCTATGGACAGACAAGAACCAGTGTGAGATCTTTGACAGTTATGGTCTACCCCTGCACGTGTACACCAACCCGGAGTTGCACCAATGGTGGGGTCAATGGAAGTACCTGACGCGCAGTGACCAGACCCTGCAAGCCCTGGATAGTCAAACCTGTGGCCATTATGCGTTATTTTTCTTGAAAGCCCGGGCGCAAGGACGGTCGTATCAAGAATTTTTAAGTCAATGGAGTTGCGACAATTTAGTGTTAAATGATCAAAAAGTGGCCGAGCAGTTGAAACGGGTGATCAAACGGGAATTACACGATGAAGTCGATGCCCGACCCGACGGAGAGCAAAAGAATGTGAGCCGCCAGGCCTTTATCACTTGTCATCATTGTGAGTGTTGAATAAAAACCCATAAAACGAAAGTGTGTGGTCCATGAGTGGTCATTGTAGTTCATCATGATTACGCGCGCCGATGTCCAGCGGGTGGTAGATGCGTTCATTCTGGAAGAAACCTTGTATTGGTGGGAACACCCCATCGAGCGGGTCAACACCGTGCAAGGCATTGACGCGTGGGATGGGTATCATTGGCTCATGGCCCGACAATTGGCCCAAGACCAAGATTGGGTCTCCCTCAAACAGTATATGGACAGCATGAGCGAAACGTATTTAAGAGAAACCATGGAAGGACTGATCCAGTCCGAATCGCCTCGCTTATACCGCGACTATTGGACGACATGCCCAGACGACAACGACGACAGCGCGCCTCCACCCGACGACCCCGCTTTCGCCAAAACGGACGAGGCATCATGAGCGTATTGGCCAAAGCCTATAAAATCGGCGACAAATTGGGACGGGACAAACGGTATAAACGCATGGGCGCTAAAGGGGCCACCGGTCATTATCGACGTCACCCTCGACCGTGGGAATCATGATCCGACAACCCAGTAGTGTGATCATCGCAGGCCCGTCGGGCAGTGGCAAGACGGACTTGGTGGAACAATGGTTACGGTACCTGAACGTGTTTCAAGTCAAACCCCGCAAGATTGTGTATGCCTATGATCGCTGGCAACCCCGGTTCGAGCGTATGCAAAAAAAAGATGGGATTCAATTTCATCGCGGGTTACCGGACCCCCGTCATTTGACGCAATGGTTTGGTCGGACGCGCGGCGGGGTGCTGGTCTTGGACGACCTGATGGAAGAAGGGGGACAAGACAAGCGCGTGTTGGATTTGTTCACCAAAGATTCGCATCATCGCAACATTACGGTCCTGTATTTGACGCAAGATTTATTTCCGCCGGGCAAATTTTCCAAGACCATCAATCGCAACGCGCATTACATTGTGGCGTTCAAAAACCCCCGGGATCAAACAGGCATACGGACGATTTTATTGCAAGCCTTTCCGGATCGGTGGCGTCAAGTCTTGCGCCTATTTAAACGCATCACGGCCCGTCCCTTTGGCTATTTGATGTTGGATGTACATCCGGCGTCGGATGATCGCTATCGCCTGTGGAGTCATTTAACGCCTCGCGAAGGCAAAGCGCAAGTCCACACCTTGCGGGCGGATGTCCCTGCCGTTCGACAACGCACTGCAACGAGAACTCGCCAGGGTCCGCCGGCAAAGAGAAGGCGGACAACATACTGAGTTAGCCGCTCGCATGGACACACACTCACCTGCGGGGGTAGGTTCCCCTTCGGTCCTCCGAGATCTCAGCAGCATGACGGACATGGTGACCGAATTGTCTCAACCAGTGGATCGTACCCAATTGCAGCAAGACATTGACGAGTTCAATTTGACTTACCCGGTCAATGTAGACGATGCCTTGAATGCCTTCACGCTCCCGCCCGTAGCAGGCACTGGCACGGCCCCCGCCACCACCACGGCACCGCCACCACCCACCATCACCACCACCACGACTGCCCCAACCCGTCCCACCACATCGACCCGAACTCGTCCCACCACGACTACCACCACCACCAGTCGACCACGACCCGTCACGTCCACTCGAACACGCCCTGCCACCACCGCCACGACCACCACCGCCCCCTCCCGCCCCTCCACCAGCCGCCGCAGTGCCGGGGCAGGGACCAGGACCACCACCTCCACGGTGACGACCCCCACTGGACGCCCCACCATCGCCGCCAAACAACCGCGACGGCGCCCCAGGGTGCCCTCCCCACCATCCCCTGGTTCGTCCCCTCCGTCCGATGACGAGGATGGCGATGATGATGATGACGATCGACGGCGAGGATTAAGGCGACGGTTGGATTTGCTCAATGAAGATGCTCAAGAACGGGCACGAGGTCGACGGATTCGCAACATCACGCACACCAATACGGTGACCACCGTGTATGAAGAGGGGGGTCGTCCCTCGGTGCGCCGCACATCCACCCGAACCTCCAGCCCAAGTCCACCCAGACCACCACGCCGAGGACGGGGCCGTGGCCGTGGCCGAGCACGCGGACGGGGTCGAGCCCGTGGACGAGGAGGCCGTTCTTCCTAAAAGGTATAAAACCCGTGGCTTCCCTTCTATCGTCCCAAAATGTGTGGTGAATGTCGACATGTGATGGGACGCAAACGCAAACGCACCACGACTCGACGATCATCACGTCGACGGAGGATGAAGGGTGGAAAGGCGCCGTTTGTTGTGGATGTCAAGAAAGGCTTCAAGTTGTTGACAGACCCGGCTATGTGGAAGATTCCGTCCAAAGCTGACATACAGTCCGACAAACAACGAGTGGCCAACTACAAACGCCAGTATCGCGCGAGTGGTACTAAGGACTCGTACAACAAGTGGTTGGTCAAGAAGGGGTATGCCAAAAAAGTGGGTGGGTGCAGCTTGATGTGACATGTATAAAAAAGAGGGACACGGTGTTCCGCTCTCAAAAAGAGTCGTCATGAGACGCAAACGTAAACGCTCCACGACTCGACGACCCGCCAAACGACGACGGCGTGTGAGTCAAGTAGGGGGTGTCGGGCCTGGTCTGCCTATAGGGATTCTCAAAGCTGGTTATGGGATCACCAAAGCCATCGGGGATCATCAAACCAAGCGTGCCATCGCCATTGGCGAAAAACGTCGACGCGAAGTGGCTTCAGGCAAACGGAAAAAATACGCGGGGGAATCCTTCAATTGTTCCATTATGTAAACAACTATAAAAGACCCAAGGTGTGTCCTCCCTCGGACAGATCATCATCATCATGCATTGTGGTCCACGACGGCGAAAACGACGCCGAACACAACAAGGGGGTATTCTCCCACTTCTCATTCCCGCGGCTGTGGCTGCCGCTGTCCTCATGAAAAAGAAGAAAAAAAGAAAAGTGGGCAAGATCAGTGCAGCCAATCAACGACTGGCCCAACGACGGGTCCAGCGGATGTTGAGACGCGCAAAGGGATGGGATTTCTAAGCTCCATGCACGCTATAAAAGAAACGCTTGTTGGACACACGATTCCCATTAAAGATGGTCCGTGGACCCAACGGTCGCCGACATCGTTATGTCCCTCGAAAACGACGCCGACGACGTGGCTTGCAACGCGGCGCTAAGCTCCCGCTTTTGGCAATGGCTCTCTCGCCTTTGTGGCTCAGGAAATACAAACCCAGAATTCGTGTTCGACGCCCAGACTAACCCTCAACGCAAAGCCGTCACCTTTGCGTTGGATTGGAACGACCAGTATGAAGCCGCCTTGTGTGCACGGTGTCGAGATCACATGCAACGGCATTATCATGGCGAATTGTGTGGCCGGTGTGGCGCCATTTTTACCATAAATAGACCTTGGTCCTTGCCTGAACTGGAGATTCATCATGGGGTGGCGCATGGAACGTCAAGCCCCGTTCTTAAAAAGTGTCTTACAAGAAGCCAATCAACACAAACGCCAAGAATTGTTGCGGATGGCCAATGCGGATCAGATCAATGCTGTCAGTGAATTGGTGATGAACACCCTCCGTGGCACGGTACCCCGTTCCCGGCAGACCATTACGTTGCTCAAACCTCACGCTCAGAGTTTACGCGCTATGGCCAAACCTGCTCATTCCGTCAAACGACGACGCGCTATCATGATGGCTCAAAAAGGAGGAGCCCTCTGGCCGGAACTCTACCGATGTTATAAACGTTGCATGCGCTAGACCCGACCCCTCAGTTGCACCATGGAACCCGAGATGGTGAGCACCACGGTGAACAACGCCCCGGCTTTTTTACAATTACGAGACCAGTACAAACAAGAATTGGTGGAAGACACTCGCTTGACCAAAGCCGCCGATTTAGCCGCCAAACAACATCTGCTGTTGACCAGTGATGCCCCCGATGCTTGGAAACGGCCTCAACTCAAAGCCGTCAGCCGTCAATTACGCCATTGGACTAAAAAAGTGCGCCAACCGTTTGGAGCCCCAGCGGGGGGTGTGAGTGCCGCAGGGGCCACCACTCCGGGTGACGATGATTTTGAGGCAGGCCCCATGCAAGCCTGGTTCACGCAATTGGTCAAGGCCACCCAGGGTATAAAACAAGGCACCCCGACTGGTGGACCCAGAAAACCCCCTGTCCCGCCTAAACCAAGGTTCACCCCTAGTGCCAAAAAGAAACTCAAGTTTACGACCCCGTTGAGCAGTGAAGAATTGGCGGACGAGTTGCCCTTTTCCGAGGCGCCTGGAACGGCCCCGTGGGAAACCCCCAAAGAACGTGCAGACACTATTACGCAATCATTCAAGCGCGGGATTCGTAAAAGAGCCGCGGACAGTGCTAAAAAGAAAGCTGCGGGGGTCGCCAAAAAGAAAGCCGCTGGTTGGGCCAAGAAAGCCTTGGATTGGAAATCGTGGAAAACCCCCTAACATGGGACGCAAACGCCGTGCTCCACCCCGTTCCCGAGCGAGGCGGCGACGACGACGCTCGCAACGGGGCGGCAAGTTATTTGATGTACAAAACCTCCTTAACAAGACCGGCATTGAATTTCATTGGCCCGGTTATCAGTATATGGGCCCTGGTACTCATTTAAAGAAACGATTGGCCCGTGGGGATCCCGGCATCAACCGGTTGGACAGGATTGCGAAAGCCCATGACATCGATTATGATAAAGCCAAGACGTTAAAAGACAAATGGGCGGCGGATCGCAAGATGATTGCCAAGATTGATCAACTCCCTGGCAGTAAAAACTTAACAGAGCGTATTGTGAGACGCATTATGAAAGCCAAACTCCGATTCGGCATGTAAACCCCCTTAGTCATAAACAAGACAACGTTGCACAATACACATGTTTTAATTAAACTTCATTTTGTTCTTACAAGTACATGTCCATTTTCTGCAAGGCCTCAGCGCGAACAGTTTGCACTTTGTCTTCTTCCGGCAGCGACTCGGCCCAATCCAAGGGCAGCCACGGGAGGGGAAAGGGACGCTCTAATTCTTCGTCCAACCAGGACCATTCTCGACGTCGAATGGATTCCACCCGCTTGTCATATCTTTCTTTCTGCAGGGCTTTCCATCCTTCCTCGCCCAATACACGCTTTTTCTCAGCCGCCATCTCCCGCCGCCGCGTATTCAAACGTTGCTTGTAGGCCTCGTAGGTCCCCTCTTTTTTCATTTTTTGTATCCAATTTTTTTGACATTGATTGTTTTTACGTTTGACCTCCGCCCGCTGCTCCTCGGTCATGCCATGGTAACGTCGCATCCCCTCCTCGGTCTTTTTGGCCTTAAAGGCCTCATACTCCCCATTGGCCCTCATACGAGCCATCCGCTCGTGGTAGCGACGACGGTGCATGGCCTTCACCTCCTCAATCCCATTCGGAGCCGCATACAGGCGCTGCCGATACTGTTTTTGTTGTTCTTTGGTTCTTTTAGGGTCCCGTTTTCTCTTGGGGGGCCGGCGCGATCCTGGCGTATCCATGCTCAATCTCCAGTAAACGGGCAGAACACACGTCCGCCAAGGCCTGCAACTTTCGGAAGGGATGAGGTGTCTCCCGAGCCCGGGCACGACGGTCCCGTTGCTGCTGCACAATTTGATCACGGTGTCGACGATAATAGTTGCGGTTCAGCGCCCGTACTTGGTCTCCGTGCGTGGCTCGATATCGGTTGCAGGCCAACCGATTCAATTCTCGGGCTCTGGCAAGCTGTTCCTGGGTCGGGGGCGGTTTGGGCGGCTTGGGCGGTTTGAGCTTTTTCTGAGCTGCCCGCTTCTCACGTTTCTTTACCTTAATCTCTTCTCGGTGTTTCAGGTACCACCGGTGTTTCGCTTCTTTCACCTTCTCAGGATCTCGATTCGGCATGTCTCAATGGCAACTGACGTTTGGTCTGGACGAGGGTCTATATCTAGCCATCTTTCCACCAATCACCGATCTCGCACCAGGCTCAGCGGAGACGAGAAAAAACTGTACCCATGGGGGGCACCCCCCTCAATCTTCCTCCTGTCTATTCAACCCCTCACTTGACTCTCACCTGACTCTCACCTGAGTCCTCTCCACCAATCCCTGTTCGTCTGATCACGTGTTTTCAGGTCTATAAAAGCCAGCGTCTGGCGCGGGAAAATTCAAATTGTCTCCTCCGTCATGGCGGAGGACCCCTGGTATCCTGACAGTGACGAGGAGGAGGATGCTCTGTTGAACCGCGCTTATGACCGGTGGGAACAGTTGGGAGGGGCCGCTCCCGCCCGAGGCCCTCTCTTTCAGTTTACCATGCAACCTATTGGTCGACGACGCCGCTGGCGCAATGTGGTGGAGCGGGCGCAATTCAACGCGCAATTGCGTCAATTGAGGGATCCTGGTCCTGGGGATAATATTGGCCTGGCATTGACGGAAGCATTACACCACGCCATTGACACGGAACTCGGCCGCGAACAGCGACCCGCCCATCATTTTGTGAACTTTGCCATTACAGCGCACGGGTTCACCCACGCCTATCAAACCGCCAATTTCACTGTGGGGGAATTTTTACAACGCACCGCTCGCTTGGATGAGATGTTAGCTACCTTAGCGGGAAAATTAAACAGCAATGAAGCCTTCAACCCCGATCGCGGGTTCCAAGTGGATGTGGTGTTTGTCTCCATGCCCGGCCCGGGGTCTGGTCGACATAAACAACGCAATGTGGGACGTTTATGTCTAGATCGAGTCAACAAGAAAAAAAGATGCATCATCCCCATCAAGAACAGAGATGCTTTATGTTGTGCCCGTGCCATTGTCACCATGCGTGCTCATTGCCATAAAGATCAAGGCGTGGACGGGTTTCGCGACTGGGAGAATCTCAAACGTAGTCGTCCTGTGCAGCAACGTCAAGCCCAGGCCCTCCATCAGCAAGCGGGAGTCGCTGAGGGTCCCTGTGGTATACCCGAGCTTCGCCAATTTCAACACGCGTTGGGGTCTCAATATCAACTTTTGGTGATGACCCGGATGAAACCGTTCTTTTTGATTTTCAAAGGCCCCACTGCCCCTCATCAGATTCGTTTACTCAAATCCAATGATCATTTTGACGGCTGCACGTCTTTTCCTGCCTTTGTCAACCGTTCGTATTATTGCCTGGACTGTGAACGGGGGTTCAACACCAACGATCGAACCAATCACACTTGTCAAGGAAGACGCTGCTCGGCGTGTGGACGCTTTGATTGTCCGGATTATGTGCGTGGCACCCGCCCCACCGAGTATTGCAGTCTGTGTCACCGCAAGTTTTATGGCAGTCAATGCAAACGTTATCATGAAGTCAGTGCCCAATGTCAATCCATCAAAACCTGTCTCAAATGTCAAGCTCAATACACGGTCATCCGCAACCAACGTCACCGGTGCGGGTATGCCAAATGTCCCGCGTGTCAGGAATGGGTGCCCATCCAGGACCATCAATGTTACATTCAGCCCGTGGTGGAACGTGAGGAGACTGAACCCACAGAGGAGGGGGGAGGTAGCATGGTGGCGCCACCCCCTCCCCTGTTTGTTTACGCGGATTTTGAAGCCATGCAGAATGCAGAAGGTGTGTTTGTAGCCAATTTGTTATGTTATTCATCCAGTGCCGAAACCGCCATCCATGTATTGGACGGGGAGGACTGTGCCCTACAATTTTTGCGCGATTTAGATGATCTCACGGACGTTCCAGACTGTGAAGGCGAGCGGACGATACTCGTGGTGTTTCACAATTTGAAAGGGTTTGATGGCATGTTTATTCTCCATGAACTCTACCAGCAACAACGCGAGGTGGTGGATCAACTGACGGTGGGAGCCAAAGTGTTGTCGTTCAGAAGTGGACCTATCAAATTCATTGACTCGCTGTGTTTCTTGCCTATGCCGCTGGCCTCCTTTTCCAGTACCTTCAATTTAACCGAATTAAAGAAGGGCTTCTTTCCTCATTTGTTCAATACCCCCGATCACCAACAGTATGTGGGACGCATCCCCGATCTGGAATTTTACGATCCCGACGGCATGATGGCTAAAAAGAAAGACGAACTGACTCGTTGGCACGCCGATCAAGTCCGTCGGAACGTGCCCTTCCATTTCCAGCAAGAAATGATTGAGTATTGCAAATCCGATGTGGCTCTATTGAAAGCGGGGTGTGAAGCCTTTCAACAAGAATTTGAACAGCAGGCTGGCTTCAACCCCATGGCCAAGTGTATCACCATTGCCAGTGCCTGCAATCTGTATTGGCGCAAGCATCATTTGACCCCCGACACCATTGCTGTGGAACCTCTCGGAGGGTGGCGAGGGGCCCAAGTCAACCATTCCCTCAAAGCCCTACAGTGGCTCTATTACCAAGAACACCTTATTCCCAAAGAGGGGGCCAGTGCAGATCGCATACGTCACGTTCGTAACGGAGGCGAACAGTCGGTCCGAACCAGTGCCTATTATCATTTCGTCGATGGCTACGATCCTGTGACTCGCACCGTCTACGAGTTTCATGGATGTCTCTATCATGGCTGTCCCCGTTGTTATCCCGCGAGAAACGCCAAACATTATGCCACGCCGGATCGAACTGTGGAGGAACTCTATCAAGCCACGCTCTCCAAACGCCTGGCCCTGCTCCGAGCAGGCTATACAGTCATTGAAATGTGGGAATGTGAATGGGACAAATTAGTGGACACCGATGAAGCCGTCCAATGTTTTCTGAATTCCTTTGATCTGGTGGCACCCCTGGAACCCCGTCAAGCCTTCTTTGGGGGTCGAACCGGTGCCGTGGCTCTGCATGCTGTGGCTGGAGAAGGTGAGGAAATACGCTATGTGGATGTGACCTCCCTGTACCCGTGGGTGAATAAGAACTGTCCCTATCCCATCGGGCATCCGCAGATCATCACGCAACCCGCCGACCAGTCCCTGGATTCTTATTTTGGTCTAGCTACTGTCGACATTCTTCCTCCCGCTGGTTTGTTCCACCCCGTCTTACCCGTGCGTAGCGGCCACAAGCTCACGTTTCCTCTCTGCCGCGCCTGTGTTCAGTCAGAGCAGGCCCAACCCATGTTGACCCGAACCCGCTATTGCCCTCATTCCGATGCGGATCGCACGCTACGTGGCACCTGGTGTACACCCGAATTGGTCAAAGCCGTCGAAAAGGGGTATACGCTGATCAAGATTCACGAAGTCTGGCATTTTCCTCCCGAGCAACGCCAAACGGGTCTTTTCGCTGATTACGTGAACACGTGGCTCAAGTTGAAACAAGAATCGGCAGGGTGGCCCGGCTGGTGTCAGACCCTCGAGCAAAAACGCAACTACATTCTTCGTTACCAGGAACGGGAAGGCATCCGACTGGACATTGCCAGTATTGTCAAGAACCCCGGTCGGAAAGCCACGGCCAAACTCATGCTAAACAGTTTCTGGGGCAAATTCGGGGAGCGGATCAACAAACCCACCACCGTCACTGTCAAAGACCC